GAAAATTGGTCGAGCCATCCGCCCAAGAAATCGTGAAGTACATTTCAGATTGATTAATCACACTTTAAACAGTAATTTGTCAGAATTTTAGCTCAAATTCTTTAGAAACACTGGAGGGATCCCACCGAATAATTTAAGGCGTCAAACTTAAAAATCACTACACCCGTTCGCTCAAAATATCGTTGCATACCTTTTAGAAAATTGATTTAACTCATTCTATTCGATCATGGGTCGATGGTTTTAGCTTATATTATTTAAAACACTCACAGGACGTCACAGGATAATTTAATATATCCTTTATAGCTTACAGCGGATAATCCAAACACATAACCCTTTTGCCGTGACGCTTAGTCGGGTAAAAATAAAACCTTTAAATAAAAATAATATGCAAAATATTCAATTGCGTTGTTAAAATATTTTTCAATATACTTTAAACCATAGTTTCAGGATTAAGTGGCCAAACTACAAAAATGAACTATGGATCTCAAAACAAGGAAAGAATTTCCTCTGAAGAAATGTCCGCAAACGCTTTGTTTAGGAGATATTCACATCTAAAGATTTTCGTGGCATGAATTATTTACGTTATATGAAATAAATAAAACCTATTTATTTGTTCTAACTACTTTATTAGTTAAATATAAACATTAACATCCATATTAATTAGAATACTAATATGGTCTTTTATCCCTATCTGTATAAAAAATATTGGCAACATAAGGATTAATACTATTTGGAATTAGTATTAGGAACTTTCAATAACATTTATCAGTTTGTAAGAAGCTTTAGCCGAGTACTTGAAGAAAGATGTGCCTGTCTTAATGCTCAAGGAAATCGCTTTGTACAGCATTTAATATGAATTTAATGTTTAAGTTTAATTAGTAAAGTAGTTAGAACAAATAAATAAGTTTTATTTACTTCATATCACGTAAATAATTCATGACAATGAAAATATTTTGGTGTGAATATCTTCTAAACAAAGCGTTCCCGGACATACTTACATAGATTTTTTTTTTTCTTTTTATGAGGTTTTTAGTTCATATTTTCAGTTTGGCCACTTAACTCTGAAACACTCTGTGTTTTGTTCATCATTAAATAGTAAAAATATTCAAATAATTTGATTCGATAAAAAATATTTTAATTAAAAAAAAAACGAATACGCAAATAACTTTACAGTACATATTGTTTTGTATTATATTATATTGTTCGTTTTACAATAATTAGGTTATTACGGTAATTTTCACCCGTAACTACCGAAACTATTGATACTTTTTTTATTGGGGTACATCACCCTCCCAAACAGAACGAAAAATCTGCGCCCATAGCTCCTAAGAGGCATTCGTCAAGAATTATGATTTATCACCTGTACGAGATATCTTTGGTCTTTAAAACTCAGGCCCCAATAGTTCCTTTGGAACTAGATCGGGTCTAGATGACCGTATCGAAATCTTTGAAACCATCAGAGTTTAGAAACCCACCAATTATTTTATAGGCTTTTATTATAGTTTTTGAAGTTATCTAAGGATCGAAATAAAAATAACCTTTCGTTTGATACCATATTACCTGATTCGGATATCTATACTACCGTATTATATATAGTGTAGATTGTTTGTGTTTTTGTATTTATAACTAAAGTAATATTCATATGGCTTGTTAACTTGAAAAAAAAAACACCAATTTCTATAAAAAGTAATAAATCTTAATTTTTTAATGTATCATACCAGATTTCTTTGTTATTATTTTATTTAATTGAAATTGACAACTCAAGTCTGAAAAATCATGTAGATTATTATTCAGTGGTTTTTGAAGAAGCTGCACCTTGAAATTTATAATTATTTAAATTATAATGGATATTGATTTATCAGTATCCATGAACATTTAGCTGAGCGTTTAGACATAAGGCAGTCCTTCATATTAAACATCATGCTATCGAAACCGGGCTTCCAAACTTATTCCATTTCCTCCGCGGGTAGGTAAGCAACTGGCAACTTGGCTGAAGATATACTCATCCGAAGAGGTGATTCCCCAGCCCCTGATTACATCAAAACTCCTCACTGAGGGTTCTAACACCTCCTTAGAATCATCAGGCTATTCAACATAAATGGAAGCTGAGAGAATTGGTTTGTGTTATATATGAGCCTTTCAGTTGGCAGAATGACCAACTCCAATTTCAATATTTTTTGAAGAGAAGGATAATTGGAGTGATCAGTCAAAATAAAAAATAGCAAAAGTAAATAATTATATTTATTTTTATATTTGCCAACGTTTCGGCCCGAAGTTCAGGCCATCGGCAGGACTATAAAAAAACAAAAAAACAACAGATAACAATAGGTACGAGAAAGTATAAACATTGAATAATAATGAATTAAAATTAAAAAGGTGAAAGAAATAACCTAAAAAATGAAGGTAGAATAAATTTAAAATAAAATAAATAGTCCCTCGTATAGACCTCTTTTTATCGAATTATTGACATCCGCCTGAAACTTCGTAAATAGTTTCATCTCATTGTATCCTACAACTATTTTATTTACGAAAACTCTTGTAATTAATCGTAAATACACATTTGCTTTATACTTGGATCGTAAGATAATCCGATCAAACAATCGATAAAAAAAGATGGCCTACAAAAATATTGGTCCGTTTGTCATACATAACCTCGTTATTTTGAAAATGTGGGGGTGTAGGTCACGCCAAACGGCTCAATATTTTTTAAGGCTACCTTTTTTATCGAATTTTTGATCAAATTATCTTACAATCCTAGTAGAATGTATATGTGTATTAATGAGTTTTTAGTAGCTAATTAAATAGACAAAGTTTGCCCCCCCTCCAGATTGAAAACGCCCCAATTACAAGAGTTTTCGTAAATAAAATAGTTGTAGGTTACAATGAGTTGGAACTATTTACGAAGTTTCAGGCGGATGTTTATATTTCGATAAAAAGGGGTCAGTACCACTATTAAATAGGAGATAAAATTTGGCATAAATACTAATATTATATAAAATCCACATTTGTTTCATTTATTATCTTTAATACTTTAATACTCACAATTGTAAAATTATATTTAGATATGTTAATACCTGATATTTGACTTTATCTTCTACGATGAAATGTTTTCAACTACAAAACATGGCAAATCAGGTTTGGTGATTTCTGCCAGAAGAAAAAAAAAACACTAAGAGAAGCAAAATAAATAGTTTCTTGTATTACTGGAATTTCATGTCCAATTGCACATAAAAAAATTCTAAAAGTTCAAAACTCGTTTCATAATAATTATGTCGAATTTTTACACATAATAAGAGATCGAAATGTTTTCGTCTACGTTAGTCTAGAAGTCTGGGCATATGCAGGTAACACCAAAACGTGTACTTCCGGTGAAAATTAAGATACGAAAATTTTCACGATCGCAATGTTTTTCTTTACTACATATTATATCTGTGGCACATGTGCATATTGTATAAGTGCAAAAATCATATTAATAGAAAAATGCAATTGAATGTTTGAAACATTCACACGTGCAAGTTCAATTCACACAGAAATGTCAATCTCTTTAATAGACGAATAACTTAGGCCATTAGACACAACTTAAGTGTCATGAAATGATTTGTTTTTTATGTACTATCGGTGTTTTTAATGCTTTTATAATTTTTTATTTGTTGGTTTATTCATGTTTGTAATTTTTTTTTTCACTCTCGCATATTTAATTGAAAACTATATTCGTTCTTGAGTGGGACATTTGGACTATGTCGCGGAACCTATTGCCTACATATAGAGGATCATAATAACATCTAAATCATAATAAGAGGTGGGTAGAGGGTTTTCGGGCTGAAACCCTCTCCCCAAAATGGTAAAATGTAACCATGTTTATAATAAAAAATATTAAAAAATGATTTCTTAAGGAATAATTTTTGGTGTCATTACATTTAATAGGACTTCAAGAATCACTTAAACATTATTTGATATAGGTAGTCTTTTATTTTTTCCAAAGTAATTATCGTCATATATATATATGAAAAAAAAAAACTTTCAGGCTGATGGCCCTACTCAAAATTAAATTCTGGATCGGCTAGTGCCTATATTTCTCGAGAACACAGCCATTGGACTGTGGACGAATGGAGTGCTGTACTTTTTACAGATGAGTCAACATTCGCTCTTCGATCTACAGACGGGCGTGAAAGGGTGTGGAGAAGAAGAAACGAAAGATATGCAGCCTGTAATTTTAGCAAAAGCCAGCCGTGTTACTCTGTGAGTTCTGGTCAACTCTGGTCCTGCTACTGGACGAAAAGCCATTAATCCATACTCATTTAATCTTCTCCGAGCGGAATGTTCCGAAATTTGCATACCTCGAACTTCTTCGAGCTGATGAATCGCTTGAACAACGGTAAGGTGCCGGTTTCGTAAAATTCTCAAAGTCAAAAACCGGTCATCCCCTGGTTCTGTTATCCTAGGCCGTCCAGAATCGGGCCTTCCATTGTAAGAACCAGTTTCCCGAAAACGGCTGACGGCGTCTCGTAAAGTTTCATATGGAACTCCGATGGCATTAGCTGCATATCTAATGGAACGTCCATCGTCAATAAGTGCCACACCACACACAACATCCTCAGCACTAAGATGCATTTTTAAACTTAATATTGAAAAAATTAAAAGCCGGAGACTTGGAAATGTGCTGCAAGAAACGACACTGAACTAATGATACTGAATGAACATTTTGATTCCATAGAAAGTAAACATTGGAATCTAGAATCATTTCATTGAATTAAGGATTATGGGTTATTGTCCTCTATATTAACATTCCTAAATTGAAAACAAACATAAAGATTACCTATTTATTCATTAAAAACAATAGACCAATCCAAAGCAGAAATATTTGTAGATGAAAACATGAATAAATCAAGTGGGTGGAATTTTTTTCCTGTCAGTGTATATATTATTTTAAAATAGTGTGATATTTGCTGAAGGTTTAGCTACCCATTTAAAATAATTAATGTTTTATTCAATAAACCTACCTGATTGAAATGCTGAGAGGAGCCAGCTATAAATACAAGAGCCTTGCACTCTTCCGCTAACATCTCGAGGACTAATGAAATGTACCTCACAACTGCGGACCTCAGCAATCCCAACTTTACGATCACGGTCGTAAAGGGTGCATGAGCTGGTGACGCTGCTTTACGCCTCCAGTCATCGGATTCAATTCTGGATCCTGCGTTCGAAATAAATAAAGGTTCCTAAGGTATAAAAATATTATGTCGTAGTTTCTAAAAAAAAAAAAAGATAAATAAATAAATGAAAACTACTTTATTGAGTAATGTGACATTTAATTATAATTAACAGAACAGCGTATAATTAGCGCAAACAGAGCTTTCTTCTTCCTCTCAATGCTATTGAAATATCGAAAAATCTCAAGAAATCTCAAACTAAGGGTGTACGATGCTATGGTAAAGCCAGTTCTAATATATGGTTACCATCCTGCCATCCCACACAGATCCTGAAACAGCATTCTTTATCCTTCAAAGACATATCTCCCTAATTGAGCAGTGGTGCAACAACTGGCGCATCAAAATCAACGAATCCAAATGCAAGCATGTCACCTTTACCTTCCGAAGCAGATCCTGTCCACCTATCCACTTCAACTCTGTACCTCTCCTCGTATCAGACACAGTTCGGTATCTAGGATTCCTTTTAGACAAAACCGACGACTTGGCTAGTTATACAGACTACTAAACAGAAAATCCAAACTCTCAATCGAAAGCAAACTCAAAAAAATATTAATATACAAGACCATACCTAAACCAATCTGGACCTACGGATTTGATCTGTGGGGGACAACTAAATTTTCGAATATGAAACGCATCCAATCCTTCCAGTCTAAAGTCCTCCGTATAATAGTCAATGCTCCTTATTATGTTACGAACAAAACCTTACATCATGACCTTCACATCCCTTATGTCCTTGACGTTATTCCATCTCGATTCTCAAATTTTCATCTGAACCCAATCCAACATCCTAACCCCTTAGCGCAATCCTTATCCAGCTCCAGTCACCCCTACAACCCACCTCGAAGTTTGAAACGGCAGTGGCCTCGAGACCTTTTGTAAAGACTGTCACTGGAGTTCTTGCCAGCCTCTCCACTCAAGTCATGAGCGTCTGTTGCTTTAGTGCCCTCTCTCAGTTTCCACTGGACTCCAATGCCGGTGAAGCGGCTGAAAGAGAAGCGCTGGAATCTATTAGAGTCTCGCTTTGTCCTTCACACATGGAGGGAAGGGCTGGACTCGGAGCTCCCTTAGCTGATTGTAAATATTGTAATTAAGTATGAATGTTTTTCTTTTTTTTTTATATATATTTATTTCTTTTACTTATGACTTATTTAATTTGCTACCAATTTCTGTATTTTTTTAAAAACTTGATTTTTAGTTACATTTCTTTGGATTTATAGTTTTTGCCTTTGTTATATAGATATATATTTTTATTTGTTTATTTATTTATTTTTATTGTATTGTGTATATAGTATGAATGAGCCTCACTCAGATTTAGTACTCAGTGCCCTTAAATGTGACAAAATGTTTTATTTCTCAATAAAAAGATTTTTTTTTAAATGTACATATGTCTACGAGACCTGGACACTAACCAGCACCCTAGAAAAAAGCGTCGAAAGAAAAATTCTCCGCACGATAACCGGAGCGATCTGGGATCAGAGTACTAAAACATGGAGAAGAAAGACCAATAAAGAACTGCTTACAGAAACTGGTCGGTCAATATCCCATGATATGAAGGCACGGAGGTTAAGATGAGCGAGGCAGATAGCTCTTATCAATCCATCTGGAAGCCTCTTTATATAGATTGAATTCCTCAATAGAAGGTAAAAGGCTACGTGGAAGGCCAAAAAGCAGATGCATAGATAGAATCAGTAAAGATGCAACAGAGCTGCGTGCAGATGAGTGGAAGAAAGAGCCCAAGACAGGCAGAGATCAGAACAGTCTTGTTAAGGCAGCAAAGATCTATATGGTCTGTAATGCCAACAGAAAAAAAAAAATGTAACGTTCTTTCACTATACAGACAGCGGTTATAGTGATGAAAGAGAAAACAATATATATATATATATATATATATATATATATATATATATATATATATATATATATATATATATATATTCCAACAGAAAAGTAGAAAATTTAAGATTTGTTGAATAGGATCAAATATTTTATTTAAGTAACTAAACATTGCTCCATAGTAAACTAGGCGAAATTTGGTTTATACGAAAGTAGAGTTTATCATTGATTAAAGAGGTCTATTGAGTGAACAAACTCAGCTAGGTTCCGTTTAAAAAAATTCATAAATTATTTGTGAATTGTTTTTATCATCTTTGAACTGTACTACAATTACCCCTCTTAAAAAAAACAGTTAATAAGGTTTAAGTCCTTATTAATTAAGTTGATATTTATCATGAAAATTTTTGAAATTCACATCAAATTGTATACAAAAATTATGTTATTTTATATCCAGTAACTTAAAAGCACCCGTGTTATCAACAAAAATTGATATGGTGTACCGTGAAAATAAAATTGAAAAACCTTTGAGAAGCAAATTATAATAAACTATTTATGTTGTAATTTTTACAAGAAATCTATTGAAAAAAAAAAACTGTCAAAGATAAACATGTTGTTAACAATAACTGTTGGATAAATCTTTGAACAAATTAGTTTCCTTAATAAATCTGTTATAAGATTTTGGCTCAAATTTGATCTGCTTTAGGCTTTACCGTTTATTAAGGATCTTTTGCCACCCTCGTCTTAATTGGTTTTAGGTTTCAAGATAAGCTCGTGTAATACTTTGAACTAAATAGGCGGAAACACTGGAGCATCGATAGTGTTATATTAGTTTATGCTTAATTATATTATGCTAGGTATTATTTTAAATAATTATTATTTTTTTTATATTTATCTGATAAAAAAAGGATACGATTAGGTATGAACGAGACCAGCACTCCCGTTTAAAAAAAATATTTCATACAATGTTAGTCTTAAAGATTTTTCATTCAATTTCATTTAACATTTTGGGGACAAAAAATTATTAATGTGACATATTAATATTAAAAGTTTATTATACTATAGATATATTTTTTCTAAAAGATTTAGGTACTTTTAACCATTATTCAACTTGTAATTATTTTGCAAAGCTCTCGATATAAACAGCTCATGAAAGAAATATTTTCATGTTGAAAAAAAAAAAATCCTGGAAATAAAAGTAATAATATAGAGGTATAAGCACACCATTGGATCAGAGTACTAACTCATGGTTGAGAAAGACCAATAAAGATACTTTTCAAGAAACTGGGCAATCAATATTTTATGGCATAAAGGCAAAGGGATTAAGATGGGCTGAGCATGTTGCTCAGAGCAATCCATATGGTAGCCTCTACTCAATGAATGTCTTAATAATAAGCAGAAGACCAAAAAGAATGGATTGAAAGAATTAAGAGAGATGCTATTAAGCTGCATTTTTATAATTGAAAGGAATAGATTAAAATAGACAGAGATAGAGGAGGCTTGTTAAGGTGGCAGAATATATATATATATACATATATATATATATATATATATATATATATATATATATATATATATATATATATATATATGTATAAGGTCTGTGATACCAGGAAAAAAAATGTATAGTAAGGAAAGCTAAGATTTTAGAAAAATAAATAAATATATATATATATGAGATTATATATATATATAATTGAAATATTTAAGCGACGCCGTGTTAGGATGGCGAAAAGCGTAAAGTAGAGTCAAAAACCAAATTATAACAAGTTTTATTAAAGGTATGGATTTAAATATCTCAAAAACTAAAAATCGGACTTGTATACTGTAAGCGAGAGCTTTGTTCAGTATTTCATCTTCTTCATAATGAGCTGTTATTTATAATTTATATTTCATATTATTAATCTCGCCTTTTTGGTGTTTTCACTTCTATCGTGTGTTTTACACACCTTAGTTTTTTTTTTATTTCATTTATTTTTTTTTATTTTTTTTTACGGTCGCAGCTTTTCATGTATGAGAAAGTAAAAATAAAAATGATTTAATATAAATACCATATGGTATAAATGTGTTGTATTATTTTTACATGTTTATTGCATTGAAATTTTTGGGTGTAAGTTGTTGAAAATTGTTGTAAAGTACCTGACTGTGTTAATATTGAGCTGGATAGTATATGGATAAACAGATACTGACAACCAAGATCCAGATCCGTTGTAATGATGGTGATGAAGTCACGACTACTCAATTGTGAAAACGTAGCCGAGATTATCTTCGTTATAATTATATAAAATAATTTCCGAATATATTCATTTCATATGGCTTAAATATGATTTATATTTTATGTATATAATAAATAAAATCATGGATTTTTTTTTTCAAGTTTATATATATTGATCTGCGACTGTCGATATAAATATATATCTTTCACTATACAGACAGTGGTTATAGTGATGAAACAGAAAACAATATATATATTTGGAAGAAAAACAAAGAAACTACTTGCCTATTTGGGATGGCGTTTAAGTGATTCTTGAAATCCTATTAAATATAATTACCCGAACAATACGTAATTTTCTTTTCATAAAGCATGGTTATATTTTACCGATTTTTTTTTTTTGGGGGGGGAGCTTTATCTGAAAATACCTCCTCTCCGTAGACCCGCCTTTGCATATATTGATTTAGTTTCTGCCTCTGGCTTAGTTTTGAAGATTTGGAAAAAAGTGAGTAAAGTAATTTGAGTTTTCAATTAAGTGGCTTACATTTTAACATGTGGACCCCAGGCCACCCTTTTGTCAAAAGTAAGTTCAAGATAGTGTACAGTGCCAGTTTGAGGATTTTGGTTGTTTTCGATATAAATCATAAAAACGTTTTTGAAATTTTTAATCATCACTTTGTAACTGCACCATTATACCGCCTCTGAAAGGACAGCAGCAGTGCTGTATCGTGTCATTTTTTTTCCATTCGGGTACGTAGTAGTACCAATCGCTATACCGCCAGAGGTTTCTCCGCGTGTAGTGGATACTCCCCGTATCGTCAAACCAAAGCCGAATATCTAAGGTCTTAGGATCGAGCGCTAAATCTATACACTGGGAGTGAATAACTTTTGCGGTATACTCCGTGAATTTATTTCCATGAATGAAGAAACCATCCATCGGCCTGCAGATGGCCCATACTAAATGAGTCATTCCCAAGTCACTGATATGATTCATCGAGACGTCCAAAAATGTGAGCTTGGAGAATGAGAAGACTCTTCCTAAAGCCATAGCTCCTGAGTCATTTATTATGTTCGTAGCAAGAACTAGAAGCTTCAGCTTGGCCTGAGGAAGGATATTTGCAATCAGCTCTGCGCCGTGACTGGAGATGTGGTTACAAGAAAGGTTGAGACGAGAAAGGACATGCTGATGTTTAAATCCTTCCAGCAATATTTCCAAATCGAGATCTGAAATGTTATTTTTGGAAAGGACCAGTTCGGCAATAGTTCGATTAACTTCCAAGACACAGGCGAGGTGTCGGCATAGTTCACCGACATTTGTCGTTAGCAGGCTCTTGGTCAAGTCGAGTTTGGTCAATGTATTGTTTCCTCCAAACTGGATCAGAGCGTCCGCTATCGATATAACCGAATTCACCGTCTGGTCCGTTTCACCAAGAGCAACGTGCTTTAGCGTAGAATTTTTCGTCAATAGGTACGCTATCGTTTCGCCACCTTTTCGTCCAATCTTGTTTCCTCTAAGATTCAAACACTGGACCTTCCACTTGCCTATTGCCTCTCCCAACTTCTTTTGGTCTAGATAAGTGATTTCGTTGTTCATTATGTTGACGTATTTAATGGTACCTTGATAGGCTAAGAAATCAGACAACTTTGCGAAACCATGGTTCGTTATATTGTTATAAGGAAGGTGGAGACCGCAAATTGTAGGCCTTTTTTCAATGAAGTCAAATAAGAAATCTAAATCTGAGTCATTTAACCTCCTGTTTAAGTTCTTCTCTACCTCATTTCCTCTTAGATCAAGGAAAAATTTCCCGCTAAATTCTTTCCGCCGATGTGATCTCAAAAAATCGATGGTCAGAGGGTTATCATCAAGAATAGATGATTTGTAACTTGAGGAGATGTAGGAATCTTCATCTGAGGCTAAAACATCTGCAATTTCTTTTGGAAACATTGCAAGGAGTTCTCTTCTATTACGGCCTTCGTTATAGCCGAAAGAGAATTTAATTTTCGATTCCATCTTGTTCATTATACATTTTGAATCATAATTCTCACGTAGACGACACATGTCGTAAAGAATTGAGTTCATTTTATCCATGATTAATGCTTGGTTCAGAAACTCAATCACCAAAACTCTATACACAACTCTTTTAATTTAAATTCGACTATATTCTACTAATATACGATTATCACAACTAATAAGAACTTCTATGAACTTTACATGCTACTACGTGTATTTATGTCATATGTTTTTGCGAATGAAAATAATATCGCGTTTAGTTCAACGAACTGTAAAAAAATAAATATAAATATTACGGTATATAAAAATAAATAAAAAAAAACTTGAGAAGAACCAATAGGGAAAACTAAATTGTAAAATAGTTCAAAAGCCTAGGAGAACTCATGAATAACAATGAGGTCGATTTACAGTCGATGACTAACAAAGAAGTTAAATCAACTTAGATAAATATTTAAAAACAAGAACCTTTTCTCAAAAGTTAAGACTGAAGCAGAAGTTGGACCTGTAGTGTTATATGAAATGGAGACTTTGAGATTTACCAGTACTGAAAACAGAAAAGAAGGTGAAGCCATAGACCAAGAAAGGTGAAGATGAGTAATGGCCTAAAAATAATCAAGAATTGTATGAAGATGTCGAAGTTTTAGAAGCACCAATGAACAAACAAAAGGAGATTGGAATTTTTTGGTCACATGACGAGAATGAGTAAAGATAGGATAAGCAGACATATATTTGACAAAGTAATGGGACTGAAGAATACGCTGAATAGATACAGGAAGAAATAGTGATAATTGGGGTAAAAGAAGAGGATTACTTAGGTAAAGATAAATTCTTGGGAAAAGTGGATAAGATGAAGGTCTTCGGAGTAAAAAAGAATAGAAAGGAAACAAGGAAAGGAATAGAATAATAGAAATAGGAAATGAGTGAAAGATGAAGAATGCCAAAAACTATTATATAATAAATAAGAGTAATATGTATATAAAGAGGGATAGCTCAGTGGTAGGGCACTAAGCTTCTGGTGGTCAACGTCCCAGGTTTATATCCCGAAGAAAAATTATTTATTCTGTTTCATTGGTCGTGGATCGACCCTGGGGACCTCTGGGTTTGAAACAGTACTTTTCCTAAATAGTATTGAACCCAAGACCCTTTATGGGTTGTAGTGGTATAGGTGAAGTTTAATATAAATATTTTACTACTAAAAAGTTTTTATTTTCTCGATTACCCTTTTCATCGCTATTTCCGGCATCTTTAGTTCTTCTAAAGGCAGAACTAAACCTATTCTAACTAGAGTGTAGTTTTTACCAAAACGCAAGGCCAAGAAGAGTATTGGTCTTGCGAATTCAGTCTTTGTCCTACGTAAGTCTTATAGTTTACCTATTGGCTTGTTGTTATTTATTAAACATGTTACTTTAGATCTTTAAAAAAAACCGCAACAGAATAGGAACATTTAGATGCTTTACTGACAAACATAGTAAAGTCTTACCTCATTTATAAAATTAACTTGACAAACATTAAAGATATTTTTAAGAAATATAGTGATAAGTCCTCACCTTGGAATGGAAAAGTTACTAAAAATAAAAAATCTGCTGCCCCCGAATTTAAACATTTTTTTTCATATGTTTATTAAAAATAACAATTGAATTAGATTAATTTTCTTGAGAACCGTATGTAAACAGGTAAGCGAACAATTATTAAATCTGTTTATAAAATTCAATACACTGTAAAACTGGTCCGATTTAGACGATTCGTTTATAGTGTTGTCGGAAATTTAATTACCTTTTAAAAAATGTTAGCATCTCTAAATGTTATAATATAGAGATATTTCATACTATAGAGATATTACTGTTGCATGTTATATGCAAAATTATATTGGTTCTACCAATTCTTTACACATATTAACTAAAATTTTCTAGTATTAGGAATTATTTAATTTTTTTTTTACCTCACGCAAAGTGCAAGACCAAGATTAATTTTAGGCAACACTACCAGAGTGGGAACGTCGAGATTAATTTCTTGGGTATGACATAAAATAAAATATAGTACATATAATTTATTATTTTATAGAATAAAAGCTTATATCCTTTGTTTAGGTTGATTATTGAAAGTATTACATCAACTAAAGCAATTTTTTCTCAGAAAATTACAAATGAATTAAACAACAATTCAGGTCAATATTAGAAATCACCTTTATCTACATGGAACTCTATTAAGTTTTCGTTGATTCGACATATTATATCCATCTGATCTTATTGAATCCCATGTGGTGTTTTCCTTACAATACATGCATTGTCATCGCTTCCCGATGGATTGCTACATGCCTCGCCCATCTTAACCTCTATGACTTCTTATCATGAAGTATTGATTGAGCAGTTTCAATGGGGAGCCCTTTATTGGTCTTTCTCTTCCATATGTTAGTACTCTGATCCCAGATTGATCCAGTTATCATGCGAAGAATTTTTCTCTCAAATCTTTCAAGACTTTTTTCTAAGGCGTCGGTTAGTATCCAGGTTTCACTGCCATTTATTATAACTGGCTTTATAATAGCACTGCATTATTTGAGATTTCTTGAAAACTTTCGGGATTTCAATACATTTGAAATTGTAAAGAAAGCTGTTTTCGATTGATATACCCTGGTTTACTTTTCAAAAAATATAGTTATGATTACCAACTGAAATATTCTAGGAGATGCATAATATAAATTATTTGAAAAACTAACAATAACCGAACTGGTTTCTATGGAAACCATCACACTATCTTTATGTTTAAAATATTTGTTAAGCTAAAAAAAATGTTCTTTAACTTAACTGTCAATCTATAAATGATTTTGAGTAGATATTTAAGTAAATGCCTTTTGTGAACTAAAGAGTTATTTTCGTTTTTGGTTTAATTCATAATTTAGACATATGTAAGTGGATTGATTTTTAAAATAAACCTTGTTTTGTAATAAATTCAAATAATATCATGGTGTGTGTTTCGTAATAATATTTCACTGAAGGGACTCTATCTGAGTATTAGAGAACAATCTTTACAATCCCCATCACAAGGCTATGTGAGAGTTTCTATGTTTGCAGGAGGCCTGGAAATACACTGTACGTGCCTATTGCTTCAGTAAGAGAATATTGTGTGTTTGAATCAATTATTTATGTCAGCTCTTAGGAGAATAGTAAATAATTATTATCTCGATTTCACTATTAAGAAATATTTATATAACAATATTCTAAAAAAATAACAAAGCAAAAGGTCTTTTATAAATCTCTCTTTTCCTCTCTCTATAAATAAATAAATAAATAAATAAATAAATATTTTTTTTTTTATTTGGGTTTTATACAACTTAAGGAGTCATATCCCAACACCCAAAAGCCACTGCTCCCTGTCCATCCAATCTCCTTCACGAAGCCCTCTGGCTGCGATGCTTTCCTCCACGTCCTCTGTCCATTTCTTCTTTGGCCTTCCACGCTTCCTTCTTTTAGGTGGCATATAGTTATAAATTTTCTTTGGCCAGCGGTTCTCATCCATCCGCATTAAGTGGCCATACCACTTTAGCCGTTTGGTCCCGATCAGGTGAAGGATGTTCTTTTGACACCCGACCTTGTCTCTAATAGCTGCGTTTGGGATCCGCTCGATTCTGGATATGCCACAGCTTCTTCTCCAGAAATCCATTTCCATGAAAAGCAACTTATTTTCCATCTTTTTTGTCAGTGTCCAGACTTCTGATCCGTAAGTAACCTATCCATCTAGTTTTTGGTCTCTTGCCTACTACTCTGGCATTCATTATCGTGTAGAGGCGTCCTGATGGATTACTACGAGCTACTGCCCTGCCCATCTTAACCTCCTTGCCTTCATGTCATGAGATATTGACTGACCCGATTCTTTCAACAGTTCTTTATTGTTCCTTCTCCACCATGTGTCAAAGTTCTGGTCCCATATAGGTCCTGTTATCCTACATAGTATTTTTCTTTCGAATCTCTCAATTCTGGCTTCTAATGTGCCGGTTGGAGCCCAGGTTTCACAACCGCACAGCAGAACTGGCTTAATCACGGCGCTATACACCCTTATTTTGAAATTTCTGGAGATTTTTCTATATTTCAGTACCTTTGAAAGAGAGAAGAAAGATCTGTTCGCACTTGTTATTCGCTGGTCTATCTCTGTTAGTTGATCATTTATTGAGGTTACTGTAGAGCCGAGGTATTCGAATCTGTTTACTTTCCGGAATAACTTATATTCCACGCAGAACATGTTATTAGGATGGATGTTTCGGCTAACTATCATGTGTTTTGTTTTATCTACATTGACCTGTAGTCCGATTTGCTCTGCTTCTTTTAAGAGTTCGAACGAGTCTCTCAATATCCTCAGATACGTCTCCTTGTATTAGTACCCTGCATTTAGGATCATTTGTACACGCCTTCGTTAACCTCACTAATTTCGTTTTTAATATATATATAAACTTTATTATTTAATTGGGAATAAAGTCATTTAATAATTATTCAATAAACTACTAAATGTTTATTGCTTCTGTTTTTATTCGACCTTTCGATCCGGTTTTTTATAAGTTAACAATGGAATCCTCTTCAAATGGAAAAAAAATATTCTGGGGCTACAATCCCCTAAGAATAATAACAGTGTTACAAATGTATGGGTATCATTCTGACTTAAAATAATAAAAACTACGAGCTAATATACTGCTTATTGTTAATGCAGTTGTGCAATAATTGAAATTACACAGTATACAGATACAAGTAATTTTACATATTAGCGGTTGAATGTGGAGTAGGTGGTGGAACAGGAGTTGTTTGAAGGAATGTTTGGACGAGGATTGACTTATGGAGGTAGGAAGAGAGTTCCAAAAGGAAGCAGCACGAATGAAGAAGGATTTACTGAAGTAAGTAGTTTTATGAGAGGGGATTTATAAATCTATAGGTTGAGACCTAGTATTCCGAGAGTGGATAGAGGAGCGTAGAGTAAGGATTTGCAGGATGTAGGGGAGGTTTTTGGTTCTGAGGATTTGGAAAAAGAAAAACACCAAGGAGGAATTGTCGTCGGGAAATTGGATAAAGCCACTTCAACTCGGTGTACCAGAATGAAACATGCGAACGCCTGAGGATCCCAAAGATGTATCTTATGAAACAGTTCCTGAGTTTCTTTAGTCTCATTAGTAGCCTAGTAGATAGCCCTCCATAAACCAAACAGCCGTAGTCGAAGTGAGGGAATATAAGGGAGGTCACAAGGAGCTGTCCGGTGTTTAGAGGAATACAATCACCGAAACTTAGGGGTTGTTTAAGGACAGTTATGGATTAAGTTAAAATATGATGCTCAAACGTCGATTATAGAAATTTTGTATATATATATAAAGATTTTATTTCTTCTTTATCTGTGACCTAGGATAAAGTTTATACACTTTTCACTATTGCAAATGACGAAGAATATGCTTCCTTTATCATTAGGATGCTGCTGAAAGCCTATACGGTAGGAGGCTTGGAAATCAGTAAAACAAAAACCAGGTATATGTCATTCAATAATAGTGGTAACCTCTCACTAAATGTTGGGTAATGGGATTTGCCAGAACTGAGCAATTTAAATATTTAGGCAGGTGGCTTTCGAAGGTAGGAAATAGCAAAAAAGACATCGATGAAAAGGTCATTAGAGGTAGAAAAGTAAGAACAGTGTTATACGCCTCAGAAACTTGGACTGTTTTTAACTGACTCAAACTAGAAAGCTGGCATTAATGGAAAAGGATTTTTTGAGATATAGTTGTGGAATATCTTATTACAACACGTTCCAATCAGCAACTTTAAGGGGATTAGTAAAAGAACCATATAACGTCTATAGAGACAAAAAAGCAGTGTTAGTTTGGGAACTGTGTTGGTTATGATAATGGCGGACTACCGATGACCTAAAAGGATATTTGAACATGTTCCATTGGAAAGGAGGAAGAAAGGTCGACCAGAAAAAAGATGGATGGAAGGTTC